CAGCATTTTCACTCCTAGGTATATGTAAGAGACTTGAGGCAGGGACTCAGCTTTGAAGCAACCTAAGTGTCCAACAGATGAATGGGTAAATAAAAGGTGGTATATCCATACAATAGGAGCTCTAGTGGCATAGTGCCTAAGGCATTTGACTGCTAACCAGAAGGCTAGTGGTTCAAACCCACCAGCTACTCCTTGGAATGAAGATCAGGCAATCTACTTGTGTAGAGATACTGCCTTGGAAACCCAAGGAGGGGTTGCTGTGAGTCGGGACTGACTCAGTGGCAGTGAGTTTGGATTTTTTTATATCCATCAAAATATTTTTCAGCCATGAAGACAAATAAACCTCTGATACATGCTATGACATGGATGAATCTCGAAAATTATATTCCAAATTAAATAAGTCAGATAAAAGGACAAATATTTTGTGGTTCCACTGATAAAAAATATTTAGCATAGGCAGCCACCACTCATCTTTCACTTTGTTATACTGTGGTGGCCTGTATGTTGCTGTGAGGCTGGAGGCTATATCACTGTTATTTCAAATACCAGCAGGGTCACTCGTGGTGGACAGGTTTCAGCGGAGCTTCCAGATTAAGACAGACTTGGAAGAAGCTAGGAGCCATCCAGTTCTCAAAGAATTGGCCAGTGAAAATGTTACGAATAGCAGTGAAACACAGTCTGATATATTACTAGAAACCTTTATGAATAGCCCTGAAACACTGTCAGATATAATGCCAGAAGATGAACCCCTCAGGTCAGAAGGCACTCAAACTATGACTGGGGAAGGGCTGCCTCCTCAGAGTAGAGCGACCTTGCTGATGTGGCACGACTCAGAATGCGAAGAAAGAGCTGTAAACATAAATTAATAATCGGAACATGAAATGTACGAAATATGAATCTAGGAAAATTGGAAGTTGTCAGAAATGAAATGGAACACATAAAAGATTGATATCCTAGGCTTTCTAGCTAAAATGGACCAGTTTGGGCCATTTTGAACCATATCTACTATGGCAGGAGTGACAAATTGAAGAGAGATGGCATGGCATTCATTGTCATAAAGAATGTTTCAAGATCTATGCTGAAGTACAGTGCTGTGAATGATGGAATAATATCCATACGCTTACAAGGAAGACCACTTAATACTACTATTCAAATTTTGCACCAAGCGTCAAAGCTAAAGATGAGGAAATTGAAGATTTTTACCAACTTCTGCTGTCTGACATTGATGAAACATGCAATCAAGATGTGTTGATTAGCACTGGTGATTGGAATGCAAAAGTTGGAAACAAAGAAGAATCACTGGTACTTGGAAAATATGGCCTTGGTGATAGAAATAACGCTGGAGATCACATGATAGAATTTCGCAAGACCAACACTTATTCATTACAAATACCTTTTTTCAACACAAATAATGGCTATACATGTGGACTTCGTCAGACAGAGTACACAGGAATAAGATCAACTACATCTGTGGAAACAGGTGATGGAGAAGTGCAATATCTTCAGCCAAAACAAGGCCAGGAGCTAACTGTGGAACAGATCATCAGTTGCTCTTATGCAAGTTCAGGTTGAAGCTAGAGACAGTTAAAACAAGAGAGCCAAAATATGACCTTGATTATATCCCTCCTTAATTTAGAGACTATCTAAACAGATTTGATGCATTGAACAACAGTGACTGAAAACCAGAGGAGTTGTGGGATGACATCAAGAACATCATCCATGTAGAAAGCAAAAGGTCATTAAAAAATGTGGCACTCTTCCCACTTCCTCCCTGTTTCCTGTTTCTATTTGTCCCCCTTTCCTTCTGAGCTTTTCCCTAGGCAAATGCTGCCCTTTGGTCTTGTATGGTTGGTTGGTTCTAAGGAGTATATATGCCCCTGGTGTTATTGTTCACCTTATAGGCCTCTTGGTTTGGCTGAAGGTTAGTTTACTGAGTTGAGTTCAGTTCCAGACTTCAAGGATGTCTAAGGGTCATAGTCTTAGGAATTTTATCAGTCTCTATCTGACCAATGAGCCTGTTCTTACTTTTATGATTTTGAGTTTTGTTCCATGTTTTTTATTCCATGCTATCCAGGGCCTTCTAATGTGATTCCAGTCAATGTGTGATCCGTAGTGGTAACCAGGCACCATATAGTTTTTCTGGTCTCAGGGTAGTGGAGGCTGAAGTCTGCGTAGTCTATTAGTCTTTGGACTAATTATTTCCCTGCAGTGGTTTTTTTTTTTTTTTTTTTTTTTTTGGTTACATATGTCCAGTGTAGTAAACTACATAGTGTGGCTGTTCTAGCTGTAAGTCATTGTAAATTCTGGTGGAATTTGCTGTGAGCAACTGAGTAGCTCCTGATTGTTAAAGTTATCCACCTGGGGTATTTCTGTTGGGAGCAGCACAAAGTAATTTTCTGGGAAATTCACTCTCAGATGTATAGAATTCTGATGTTGGGATTGGTTAGTGGTCACCCTGCCAGGCTCAAAAGGAGCCTTTCTAGAAGCAGAAGTCCCTCTGACTGCTGGCTGAGAAAGACATACTACTGAAAGAAACACACTCCTGAGAGACAAGTGCTGCTGAGAGACACCTGCTGCCGAGAGACACCTGCTGCCAAGAGACATGCATTGCTGAGAGAGAGACACGCATTGCTGGGAGAAAGACTGAAAGAGACTGTTGGCTGAGAGATGGCAGGCTCAGAGAAACTGAGTGTTGTTCCTGAACTTGAATTGTAGCCTGGTGGTTCTCTTAATAAACCCTATAATCTGTGAGTTCTGTGAGGCCACAGCAGCAAATTATCAAACCCAGCAGAGAGGTGGTGGGTGCTGCGCCAGGAGCGGTTGGTGTCAGGATTTGGGAAAGGGTTGGAGGGAGGCAGCATGTCTGGCCTTGCAGGAGTGGGCTTTGAGCTGCTGATGGTGATTCTGTCTTCCTTTTGTGGGGTTAGAGGAGGTCAAAAGATGTGGCCTCACTGCCCCTTTGGTAATATGCTTCACCACAATAAATTTTTTTCTAAAAATTAAACCACAAAAACAAATAGAATTGTACATTTGTTAAATTTTGTATTCCAGAATATGGGTAGTAGGAATTTCAGGCAATTAGAAAAGAGGAAAAAAGTATAAAGAAAGAAAAATGAGAGGTGACTATATGTGTAAAATTTCTGCATCGAAATTATGTAAAACTCAAATTAGTAAAAAGAACTTGGATCCTCTAGCAGATAAGTCACTTATTTCAGATGATTTTTAAAAAAATATATTAGTTAAATGTAAATTAATCCCAGTACTATTAGAACAGTACAAACTAATGACTCTCAAAGAGGCCAACATAAAAAGAAAAAAATACCGAATCCTGATGTGAGTGAATCCTTTTTCCTTATACCAAAAACTACTGTGTCTTGGTGTAAGATTGTCATTAGTTCTTTTTCTCTTTAAAGAATTTCTTTTAAGGCAAGTAGTGGATAAATGGTATGACTTAAAGATAATTTGGTATTACAAAATTATTTTTTCTCATAATTTATGTTTTATGTATTTAATCAGTTTTGTAAATTTAATGTCAGCTTTATTTAATGTAGTCATTTTGCCTATGTGTGTTTACATTTCGAGTTTCTTAAGCTTAGAATCTTGTTTTGATCTTTACATTTCCTCTGGGGTCCCAGAACCATCTTATCCCAGGTGGTATGTGGAAGAAATGTTCTATTCTTGTTAAACCAGGGTGGCATCCTCCTCTGACTGCACAAATTGGGGAAAGAAGGACCAGCACCAACAGCCCAAAGCTGATTCCTGTGAAACCTACATGCCACCACCCTCCAACCTTTATACTAATTCTGAGCCCAGCTGTCCCTTCCAGGGCACTCACTGCTTCTCTGTTGGGTTTGATAATTTGTTGCAGTGGCCACTCAGAACTCGCAAACAGTGGTCTTGAGGTTTATTTGGGAAGTAACATTACGATTTTGGTTCACGAGCACTCAGGATAAAATTCTTCAATCAGGATGGCTCTCTTCTATTATGCCCTCAGGCACACCTCTCTGGCCCTTGGCCTCTTGGCCTGGCCTCTACCCTGCTCAGGCAAGTGTTACAAAGCCCTTTTAACTCTGCCAATAGCTATAGCTAGAGGCACCCTGCTCCACCAGCAATCCTCCTGCCCAAAGGCACTTGCTTTCTTGCTCCACGGGCTGGTGACCCTGCTACTCTGTCTTGTGCCTCTTGGTCACGCCTCTTGGTTCATCTGCCCTCATCATCTCAGCTGGTTGTCTCTGCCATGTTTGTGCCAAGGAGGTCCAGCACAGGGATCTCAGATCCAAGGATGCTCTCTATTCCACTTTCAGCTCTTCACCCTTGATGGCAGTACTTTCTCCCCCTACCCCCATTCTTCCTCTGGGAAGGCTCATTTTAACCTATCAGAATGAATCCCACATTGTTGTTGTTGTTGTTGTTGTTATGTGGCGTCGAGTCAAACCCAACTCATAGCAACCCCTCCTTGGGTTTCCGAGGCAGTATCACTACAAAAGTAGGATTGCCCAACCTTCCTTCCGAGGAGAGGCTGGTGGGTTTGAACCGCCAGCCGTCTGGTTAGCAGGCAAGTGTCTTAGCCACTATGCTACCAGAGCTCCCAGTCCCACATTAGGGTTCCATATACCTTATTACCATGGTCCCACACTTACAAGGGTTCCATGTATCTTATTTACATTACTAACAAGCTATCCAATCCCCTTGATGGGCCACAAGCACCTTACATTTGCATAGTTCCATCCAGTAATCTGGTAGGAGTCACAGAGACCATGGCTAGAAGAGCCATACCAAGCAATTCACTGCACTACATCTTCCATCTGTAATTCTGGTCAAAATGACAGTTTATTTTTCAGGAAATTCCTCAGTATGCTTCAGCTTCCTATAGTAGATTTGGAAGTAAGTCATCTTGGCTGTTTTCATTGAATCTGTTTGTGACTCTTTAAGACCTTAACAGGTCTGGATATCATATGAAAGGAATGTATCAATTATATTGATCTTATTTTTGTGTTTAGATTTATCCATCGGAGTTTGGAAAGGAGAGGATGAAAGAAGAACAAGTTCAAGGACCAGTAGAATTATTAAGTATTCCTGAAGATGCCCCTGAAAAGGACTGGTACTGAATCACTATGAAAATAAAATTAAACTTAACAAATTGATGTTGCCATTTTAGAATTCTCGTCACTTTAATAAGGCACTCTGGTAGCACAATGACTAAAGCATATGACTGCTAACCAGAAGGTTGGTAATTCAAACCCACCAGCCACTCTGCCGAAGCAAGACTGGGCAATCTACTTCCATAAAGATTTACCACCTCGGAAGCCCAGTGGGAGTCGCTGTGAGTCAGAATCAACTCGATGGCAGTGGGTTTAGATTTTGGTTTGGTCACTGTAATAGGACTTAAGTTTACACTTGTGCCATTCATAGTGAAAACAAGTTACTATAAACAGATTAAAATCTGTCTGCTGTAACACATGACTTTACAACATTTTGCATATTTTTTTGTGTGTATTTTTGAAAGTAATTGTATAATTTTTGAGAAACAAACTGATATAGAATTCCCATGTAGCCTCATTACTCTGAATTAGTAAGTTTTGCTTTTTTTTCTGAGCTACTATTTTCTATATAAGTGATATTGAAACTCTGTTTACCTTCAAAATATACTTGTTTTCGTATTTGAGGATTAAATAAATAAATGATTAAAATTTTTTATCATCGTATGTATACAAATAGTTGTAAGAGGTTTTGTTTTTAACCACTAGGTGGAGCTATATGTACGCTTACTAAAAATGGTTAAGTAGCTTGGTGAGGAGAGGACAGATATGAAGACCTTTAAAAAAAATATTGTGGTTTAAGTGAAATTAGATTTGACAAGACAGAATCTGGAGCACTTTGCAAGATCAAGAATGTCTTTGTAATTAGAGCTAATGCTTTTCTAGCACATTTTATAATACTAATGGTTTTATTTGAGGAAGCCCTGTATAGTAACCAAAAATCCTGTTCTGGGAGATAAAATTATAGGTAAGCTCATGTAATTCTTTTCTAATCAAATTTTTAATCTAATCAAATTTCTACTAAATTCTAATCAAAATATCTAAAATCTACAACTTGTTAGAATGATACATTGCACATACACTTTAATGTTCATATAGGCAAAGTCATGAAGGAAAGATGACATGAAATGAAGGCCAGCTTGTATTATATTTTTTTGAAATGAATACATTATTTTTTTTAAAGGGAGATATGTTGTTTGTCATCTTGCATAAGTAAACCTAATGAGTTTTTTCCCTCCTTTAGGACATCTAGGGAAAAATTGAGAGATTATCAATTCAAACGACTGAAGTACTATTATGCAGTAGTAGACTGTGATTCTCCTGAAACAGCCAGTAAAATTTATGAGGATTGTGATGGCCTGGAATTTGAAAGTAGTTGTTCCTTCATAGATCTAAGGTAACCTCCAGTGTGTCTCTTAGCAATGTAATCTTACTATATAACGTAATTATTAGAAGTAAAATATTAGAGCTGGTAGTGCTTTCTGTTGTTTCATATTCTTAAAGAGGATATTTTTCCTTTCAGATGAACTTGTTGTTGTTATGTGCCATCGAGTCAGACTTGATTCAAAGCGATCCCTCCTTGGGTTTCCAAGGCAGTATTACTAAGGAAGCAGATTGCCCCATCTTCCTTCCAAGGAGTGGCTGGTGGGTTTGAACTGCCAGCCTTCTGATTAGCAGTCAAGTGCCTTAGGCACTACGCTACCAGAGCTCCCTTCAGATGAACTTAGTCCTATGGAATATCACTGCCAACAAGTAAAACTGGAATGAGAAAATGCAAAGTATTGTATATAAGTCACCCTCACATTTATTTCCTTTCAAACATGTCAGCTTTGCATTTTGGAATGATAAATTATATGCAGTGTTATTTCCTTACAACTCTTTTTTAGAGCTAGGAACCAGGTAAAGTAACTTGAGGAGTTTTCTTATAGATTGGTATCTCTGGGTCTATGCTATCCTGTACAGTAGCCACATCTGGCTATTTTAATTTTATTTTATTAGAATTAAATTTAAAATTCACAAATATGTTGCACTAAAAGTAGTTAGTGGTCATATGTTGGGTGCAGCAGATAATAGAACATTACTATCATCCTAGAAAGTTGTATTGAATAGTGCTGCTCTAAATGCTGCTTCAGTTAGTACATGAATGGTGTTTCAGCATTGTTTTCACACTTTGGCATTATTTTTACCATGTGATCAGGCTTTACTGATCCAGAGCTAAAAAACCTTAGATAGTTACGAATATCAGTTCTACCGAAACAGCAAGCTGAACTATTGACTGTTTTATCATTGTCCTAGTCCTTTTGAGCCCAGTAAACCATTGTGCTGTGACACTGCCAGTAGAAATCAGATCTTTGGATTCCAGGTTTGTTAGAGGTTTTATTCTCAAAATGAAATGTCTTGGAAAAAGAAGTACTATTTCATAGTCATTGTGGCTTTCATGTTTCAAAGACATTCAGAGTGATAGAAAAATACAAAAATTGTGAAATTGACAATTGAGGGTAAGATTTTAACACTTAAGAAAGATACGATCTCAGTCAAGCTATTTCCTTCTCTCAACAATGTCAATAGATGCTTGTTTCAAATGTTCCGGTAGTAGTTACCAGACGTTGTGAGGATATCAGATTCTTTGGGTAGCTTAAATTCATGTTAATCTGTTCTTTTCAGAATTTTTTTGTTCTTTTCTGTTTTCTTTTGGGGACATTGTCATGCAATGTTAGGATAAGCTCTTGTTGAAGGAAATTGAAATAGTGAAAAAAATTACACTGTTTTATTTTGTCACACATAGCATCAGAAAAGAAAACTGAGTGTTCTGCTGCCACCTAGTTATTTAAGGAAGCCTTTTTTCATCTGAACAAAAATATAAAAGCATGCATATTAATAGCATTTATGATAATTAATAGCAGACATTTTTCTTCTACTAAGTCTGTATAAAAGTCTAGCTGAAGAAGGAGATAGAGACCTAATGAACTCTACCTATTTTCCTCAAGAAATCATCTTTGATAAAGTATACAAAATAGGTTTTTTTGTCTGCAAATAAAATCCTATGTAAACTACAAAATCTAAATATTTGCAATATCCATTCCTTAGTCTGATGTTTAAGAATTATAAAACAATTGCAATGGCAAATATATTTACCAGCTAGTTTTTTGTGGGAAAAAAAATTTTTGTAAGATAATAATGTTAAGGTATTTTAGTCTTGAAAACTCAACCTTAAACTTATTCTTATTTTTAGTGACACTCATGTGTATGATACTTCATAGCTAAAACACTGGTCCATTTTAATAATTCTCTTTGTTCTTCATAATATCATTTAGCCAGCCAATGGCTGCTGTCAGAAGTCTGGGTCTCTGTGAAACATAAAGGGCCCATACATTTTTGCACCTAGCTTATATCAACTGAAGGAGCTTTGGTGGCCTAGTGGCTAAAGCATTAGGCTGCTAACTGGAAGGGCAGTTGTTAAACCCATCAGATGCTCCATGGGAGGATGATAAGGCAGTCTATTTCCATAAAGATTTATAGCTTTGGAAAGCCAACTGGAGTCAGTATGAGTCAAAATCAACAGTGATGGCAGTGGGTTTGGTTTTCTTTTTTTCCTATCAACTGACTCCTAATCCAGGGCTGCTTACTAGGCAGAACTCTCTCAAATTCAGTGAAATTTCTGATTTATATAGCTCATGAATTTCAGCAGTTTGGTACCAAGGTTGTTTGTACATTGTTTGCCTCTTTATTTTGCATGTGTGTTTTGTAGAAACTCTAATGATATGTATGTATAAACTACAACTAATTAGAAGAGAATCTAAACTCTTGTTGTTTTTCAGTGCAGCATATGTTTAAGTAAATTTGTTTTTTCTTTGCTTCTTAGGTTTATACCAGATGATACTACTTTTGATGATGAGCCCAAGGACGTAGCCTCAGAAGTGGATTTAACAGCATATAAACCAAAATATTTCACATCTGCTGCAATGGGAACATCAACGGTACTCCTTAACTTTTAAAAATGTGTAGCTATAGTCTATTGTTTATAAAAAAGACTTTCCATATTAGTTACTCATACCATCTTTAGAAATGGAGAGTGTTGAAATGACAAATACAAATAAAAATGAGACACAGGTATATTTTCATTTTTATTTACCATATCTGTTTGAACTATTTTTAAGTTTCTGTTATGCCTTTAAGCCTGAGTTATCTGCCATTGTTCCTTTTTTCCTATTCTGTCTTTCCCACAGATGCTTATCCCCAACTAAGGAGCCTTGGTGGCACAGTGGTTAAAGTGCTTAGCTGCTAACCAAAATGTCAGCAGTTTGAACTGCCATCTACTCTGTGGGAGAAAGATGTGGCAGTCTGCTTCCATAAAGATTACAGCCTCGAGAACCCCATATGGGAAGTTCTCTCGTGGCTTAGTGCCTCAGGCATTTGACTGCTACCCAGAAGGCTGGCAGTTCAAACCCACCAGCCACTTCTTGAAAATAAGGTTGGGCAATCTACTTCCGTAGTGATAACTGCATCGGAAACCCAAGGAGGGGTCGCTATGAGTCGGATCCGACTCGACAGCCATGCATTGCATTTTTTGTTACTCTGTCCTGTAGGATCACTGTGAGTTGGAGTTGACTGGATAACAATGAGTTTGTTTTTTTTGGTTCTTCACCAGCTATTCCCTTGAATAATGTAATACATCAATTATTATATACACAAATTACCTCAGATAGTTAAAACTACTAAAAATTTAATATAAAATATTAATACCTTTTTCTGCAGCTGTGAACCAAAATTATAAAAACAATAGAAATGCACTAATTCAGGACTATTAGATATCAATTCATGAAGCTTAATAACAAATAGCCAAAAGATTTATGTCTATTGAAATAGTTTATTCCTTAGCTGACTAATTTCTCTTTTCTCCCCCATATAATCTGTACCCACAGCGGGACTCTGCAAGTAGCCACACAGGCTTCCCTCACCTTTTCTCTATGACAGACCACTATGTTCTTCTCAGGAGGGGCTGATAGCAAAGAGAGTACCACTGTTTTTGCTACCTACATGTTGTGGTGGGCATTTTGGCACTGAGTGTATTAAGTGAGGTCCAGAAAATTCAAGCATATAAAAAGGGTTATTTTTCAAGACTGAAAAATGACCAGGACAAGCCTCTACAGCCAGCCAGTCTGAAATTCCTGTAGTCTGGCTGTATAATCCAAATCTGTCCCTGTTCCAGCTTAGGTATGATAGCTGTTAGTTTAGGTTTCATTATCAAAACAGGGATGTTTCTGAGTCCTGTGACTTGCTATGACTTCTAAGAAAATACAGGCTATTTTAAGGATCATTAAATTGGTACCCATTTATTATCCCAATCTGAGGAAATTGGCCTGAGGAGGTAAAAAAGGGCCCACTCTGACAAAGATGAAATTTATAGCAGAACCCCATGTGAGAATGTTGGCTATGTTGCAGCCAGTTAACAGACCCTTTATACGTTAAGGGAATTTTTGTTATCATGGGGGTTTATTCTTCCAACCAATAGATGCCATTCTCATCAATGACTCTTAATATTTTATGGAAGATGGATACTACTGAGATTGTATTTACAGCTTTACCAACAAATTTCACATATTTTGTGGACCTCCTGAAATACCCACGACTCCAGGTGAAAAATACATTTTCACTGATTCATAGTAATATTAATTTTTTCAGTAGTACTTTTTTTTTTTTTGACCACAGTTAATTTGCACATTCATGAGTTTTCTCAATAATGTAGCATCCTTCAGATAGCAGAAAGATAGAAGAAGGAGGATACAGGTTGACAGATACATCTTTCCATAAATAGCTACCTTTTGGTAGGCATGTCATTCAGCATGTCTTAACTTTTTTGAACTTACTGTTAAGCATCCAAGTAAAAGTATACATTCTTTAACAAGTTTTGGGTTGTTGACATTTCTGTTCTTAGTTGTTTTTTTCTTTTTCATTGGTGAAAGGTGGAGATTACTTGGGATGAAACAGATCATGAAAGAATTACAATGCTTAACAGGAAGTTTAAAAAGGAAGAGCTTTTGGACATGGATTTTCAAGCCTATTTAGCTTCCTCTAGTGAAGATGAAGAGAAGATAGAGGAGGAGCTACAAGGTACTTATAAATCTTTTGGTACTCTACATTTGTAGGCATTTAGATGCTTAAACAAGACTTTTTAATGGAAATATGCTCTGGACCATAGCTTAAAGAGAAGAAACAAACTTACTCTTAACCAGTCTTCAAAGTATACTCCTATATACAGTGTTATTATATACACTATGTGACAATAATTAAAATTTTTAAATATTTTCTTAGCTTGAATTTCTTTAATCGTAAACTTTTCTTTAAAACTCTTGACCTGAGTGGGTTTGAACTGCCACCCTTCTGGTTAGCAGTCAAATGCCTTAGGCACTATGCCACCAGAGGAATCAAATGTGTACCTCCTGCTGAACATCTCTGCCAGCACCCCACTACCTCCAAAATCAAGTTCACTCACTGCAGGCCAGGCCCAAGGCTTTTCCTCAGACTTTAATCACCCTGGACTACCTCATGCTCCCTGAGTTGTTGGACGCCCTCCCAGCACTGTGCCTGTGCATCTCTTCAGGCTGGAATGCCTTTTCCCTGCTTCCCATGTGGCTCATTCTGTATCCTCCTCTGAGGCCCTGCTCAGGCATCACCTCTTCTATGAAGCCTTGCCAGACCTGCTAAGAGGCGTAATACAGTGAACTATCATGGCCAGGTGCCCAGCTGGCACACCAAGCATGCACCCTTCAACAAGCTAATTCTAAACCTCAGTATAAAGCCAATTGTGAAGATTAGACACTTGTGAGATTACTATGTACTAGTCACTATGCCTGGTACATAGTAAGTGTTCAAAAAATACTGTGTGCATCTAAAAAAAAAAAAAATCTTGCCTTTTTAGACTGTCTTGATCTGTATAGTATGTTGTTGTTGTTAAAATCTCTTAATAAACTACTAAAATTCTATATCCCTCCCTCCTATTTATATTATACAAAAGAGCTTATATCATAGCAGCTGCTTTTTGAATTCGTTAAATATTTTTACAGTTCATTTTCCCTCTGTAGTTTGGAAAGTAGACTCTGTGATTATACTAGAAATTATGGCTTTCATCGTTAACTTACTAAATTCTAATGGTAATTAATATTTTTATCCTTAGACAATACAGAAGGAATCCTGGTGACACAGTGGTTAAAGTGCTCAGCTGCCATCCAAAAGCGCGGTAGTTCAAACCTACTAGCAGCTCCTTTGCAGTCTACTTCTGTAAAGATTTTCAGCCGTGAAAGCCTTAGGGATAGTTGTGCTCTATTGTATAGGGTGGCTATGAGTCAGAATCACTCAATGGCAGTGGGTTTGGTTTGGGCAGTACAAAGCATCTTAAAATAACTTTTGTGCTATTATTATGTATTAATAATTCTAAGAATTTTTTTAATCCCACAAGATTTATTACTATTTATCCATCATCACTTATTTAACTTTACTCATATTTTACCTGCTCCTTTGGCTTGTGTTTTTTAAATCTCATATCTTCTCTCTAGGATCTTTTTTTTTTTTT